CCAGTCCATTTCCCCCGCCTCTTTTCCCTTCTCAAAAGAAATATGAAGGACTATTAAGTATAACTATTGATTATTACTGAAAGTCAAGCTACCTCCTCATTTACTTGTTGCCATATTTCAGTCACTGGATTAACACCTTCAAAGATAAGACCAGTGATGTGGTTATGTTCAAGCAAATTACCGATCCACTCTGTCCGTTTTCTCTTTTTTTTTTTTTTATCAATTATCTCAGTTGCTATTTTTGTCTTCGATCATGCAAATCACACCCTCAAGAAAAAGAAAAGTTCACGTGTACAATGGGTCATTTTTTACGTACAGATAGCTTACTGTTTAAAGACAGAAGCTTTAGTTGTACGCTCAATCTTATCGATCTCGTGATGCAAATCCTAACGAACTAAAAGGGACGAACACTGAAGCCTGGCGTTTTCGAATAAACAAAGTAAGATGTGTCATTTTTGGATGCTCAAATCCATCATTAGTTAGAAAAGTGTGACGTGCCAAACCAAAATACAGTCACTAAGTTTTTTTAGAATTTTTTAGCTTCGATCATGCAGATCACACCCGCTAGAAAATGAAAAGTTCACGAAGACAATGAGTCCATTATCACGCAAAGATAGCTTAGCGTTAAAAAAGAAACTTAGGATCGATCTGTTCCACGTTCAATTACATCGTGTGTGATAAAAGTTGGACATACAAAACCGAAATACTGTGTTCTTATTAACTGAGTGGTAGGGCCGGAAGGAAAATTATTTGGCTCGGGGTCATGACCTATGGACCGAGCGCAGCGAGGCTCAAGCTTCATCACCCAGAGCCAAATATTTTCTCCACTGGCCCAACTAAATCCGGTCAATAAGCATTTTATCATATGACCACTGACCATTTTCAACGTTAATGGAAGCGATAGACGGACATGCGAACGCACAAAAAATATGCAATTTTATTTCGAGTAGCCTAGAGCGGGAGTGGAATAACCGAAAACACACGTGATCTAGATACCTAAAACGCCGTGACAGCGGAATTTCGGAAGGTTGAGAAAAGTGCGGAGTGTAATTCATTATTTTTGTTGTTTCATTTTGAAAGCATCAGCCACATTGTCAACATCTTGGTAAGTGCAATTGAAAATCTTTCCTATTCACTCGGTTTTTATCAGCCTTAGTCATTTAGTAACTGTAGAGAGGTAAGGCTCTCATGGCAAAGCCCAGTAGCTGCTTTTTCGAGCTTTGTTTTTGCAATATGTAGTTATGTCTCGTTTCGAGCGTTAGCCCTTCATTTAAGCGGTTGATGGCGCCATTGAATCGCCACCACAGTGAAATAAATTCGTTATTCAGCGGTCTTCTCAAATCTCTGTAGCTTTATACCGTTTAATTTATCCTCACTAACTAATGTTATTGAGTATCGTTCAATTTGAGAAATTGATGATCATAAAACTAAAATCAGACCTTTATTTATGTTGTGGACTGTCCCTTGCTGAAGGAAATCCGTGGTGCTTGATCAGGTGATTTTCCAGTGGCTATGACTCTACATCAGCTATCAACTTGAATCTGTTTAGGAGGGTTGAACGAACGATTCAGAGATCGCACTAGATTCGAAATGCCATATTTCTATTTGTACACAAGCGTTTCATTGTCGAAATACCCTTCACTTAAACCTTTGGATACCAACGGCGGGTTCTGCGGTACATATTTTTCTAAAGCCGTAATCTGTTTCTTTTTTTTCCGTTTAAGCCCCAGAGTCTCGCACAGGAAGATAAGTTGTGAGGCTGCGCGCTCACTAAGAGACATGGTTTAATTTTCTCAGAGGAGTGAAACTTTCTTAAATTCACTGTTATTGCATTCATAGTATAAGCGTATCTTACCTTTGAACGGATGCTTTATATTTCCACTGTTAAATTTCTTTCTTCAAACCGTTAAGGTTTTATACGATATATTTCAACCTCAGTAGTTAAGATATTGTTAGGCATTCTTAAATTTGAAAAACTGATGGTTTCAACAATCACGTGATCAAAAACTAAAATCAATCCCATTTAAAGATATATTCATAATGCAGAATGTCCTTTACTGGTCCAAGTTCACGTCTCGAGAAAAAGCAAACGATTAATTCATGATAGCGTCACGGGTTGTGTGACTTATGTGTTAAGTTATGAGCGAAGTTATGAGCGTTGAACACGTTATTAAGAATAGAATGGGGAGCGAAATATGGTCGATTTATCACGAGAAATATTTCGAGAAATCAACATTTAACACGTAAAATCAATAAAAGTACACACATCTTGTGTGTCCATATTAGTTTCTGGCGGTTTCTGCCGTTTTAAGCTTACTTTGCCATCGCTGTTATTCCCATCCCCACAGTGACACCTCGCATTAATCGAGCGTCCCAATCAACCAAGCAGACAGCTGTCTCCGTGATAGGTCTGCAATTCCTGATCCATAATAGGAATGCACGATAGAAGCGGCACCAGGATCGTGCATGCTATACCACTGGAACATACCACAGAAACCTTTTCCAGCCGCTCGATAATTGTTGATGACTTCCCTTACCACAGTAGACTTACCAGTTCCCCCCTTGGCCAGTCCCTAAAAAGTTATGACCCTTACAAGCCAAGCATACAATCTCCGCCCGTCCGTGAGATAAGTGAACGCTCATATTGACGACATGCTAATAACCACCAAACTGCTCTACTGAATATTATGGAGAACGAGTTGTCACAGGAAGAAAAATTATGAAATAACATAATGAACATCACTTGACGATCTGCGTGCTCAAGGAATTGGCTGAACTAATAGAAATTCTATTGTCCTTTACAATGAATTTCCGGTGACTAAATAGGTATTAACACCAACATAACTGTAAGGGGATAGATTAAGGGTAATTCGGCCAAATCGTGCAGGCTTTTCTTTTTATCCAGAAGTTTAGTGACATCACCTTGGAAAGGTAAATGCAATCGACGGTGGGGCATCATGTGAACAATTGTGTGATCATCTCGGTAATGAACCAAAAGAACGGTGTTTCAATAAAATCGAGCGAGGGAATTTCCAGTACAAACATTTTGGACGGTACATTATTTAAACTGCCGAATAGTTCTCGAGAAAACTAGAGCAATTTTCTCATTAATCATTCTTGTATTATTCATGAATAAGAAATAAAATAGAGTGATCCTAGTGGTCTGCATTGCACATACCTTTTGACAGCCGGTTTAACAAAATCAATAAACTAAGAATGGGGAAACTAGAACTTATATTGTAGACTATTCCTTTCTGATTTCTTTTGATTTCCATCGATTTTTCATTAGCTGAATTTGTGTTTTATTCTTGTCTTTTTTGTTTGTTTTTAATCAAAGCGAATAATGCCTCAAAAAGAAATCAGCGAGTCAGGCTATGACACATGGCAGCAGTTTGTTTCCTTTGAGAAAAGGTAGCTTCCTTACCTCACAATACATGATATAACCAAGCCTCTTATTCTTCAATCTTCTTCATTGATTGAATCAATGAGCTTCATTATCAATTAAGAAGGGACTCCCTTTTCCCATTTCTTTCTGTTTCCGGTTTCCTAATTATCTGCCTTAAGAAAGTTGAGACACTGGGAAGAGAACTTTTTTTAGTTTCCTCATACGATTAGAAAGACCAGAAGTTCTAGTTCGATCACAAATCCTGTGACAAATTCTTAGTAACAATGAAACTTTTTGATTTTCAAATATGAATGTAGTTTAAGTCAGGCACAACTGTCTATCACCTGAGTGAAATGTGAACAAAGGTAGAAAAAACTGAATATTAAAACCAAAACTCTGAGCACTTTATTTTTTTTTATGCGATTATCATTTGGTATCTATTTGTTTATAACCTGTGTGAGCTTTCTTAACATTGATTTGTTATATTCCAATTGTAACTGTTTTAAAACTACAATTAATTCCATTGTCATTCCTTTCAGCCCATTTGCGGATAATCTTTAAGTTCTCTTTGAAGTTTGTAAGACTTTTCACTAATCTTCAGACTGCTCCAACATCGAAGATGTACATAATAGATTTTTGGCTTTTAACGTTCACTCACAAAAAGATGAAAGACAGAAATCGGTAGGAATATGATTCAACCTAAGGGCAAAATGTTTCTTTTACATCACGTGACGAGATGAAGGAACCAAAAAACCTAGGTCAAAGTAAAATATATAGATTTAGCCAAGCCTAAAAGCGGAGCTCGTATTTTTTTTTTCCCCCGCACGTCTCAAGGGCACAACGCCTTGCCCCGGCCAGGACTAGAACCCGGGTCGCCCAACTCGCAGCCCAGTGCACTGACCACTGAACTACTGGACAAAGCCGTGGCGTTGGCGTGCCCGCGGTACAGTTAACCACGCATGTTAAAAGAAGCACCTTGTACGATCGTACGGTCATACATCCAAATGTTTTCGGCTTGATGGGCTACTACTATTTTGCATAATTTTGGGGCTACGCTCTGCGAGCTCCGCTACTATTTACGACAGTGACCCAGTGAGTTAAGTCTAGTTTCTACGGTTCGCTTACCTGCGAGTTAACAAAGTTGATGTACTTCAACACGGAAGCTGAGTCAGTTCAGTGGTAAACTTGGTCTGCTGTCATTTCCAATTCTTCTCGAATAATTCTGGAGAGCCTTACGCAGATAACACTGACTGTCAGTTCCAATATTGGAATTGAAATTTCATGTATGGGACTTGCTTCTTCCATGAAAAATGCACAGTGAACTTGGTTAATGACATTTTTCAAAAGGAAGTAAACGACGGCTGAAGTTCATTATCATGGCCAATTTACATTGTTAACTCATTTGGTGAAGCCAAAAAGTTTTTTAATACCCCACCAAAGTTTCTTCAAAAACTTATCCCGTTGTTTATAGAAACTATGCATGTGGAAAGTTCTCATCGCAAAAGTTAAGA